AAAAAAAAAAGCGAGAGAGTAAGAACAAGCCATGTCCTGTATTCACCAGCATTACAGATTACCACCTAATAAACAATGCTTTTCTAAATTTATATTCCTCTCCCAAGAGAATAAGCTGTTATTACCAAAACAGCCTCTACTATTTCAAAACATGCATTGGTTCATCACCATCAAATGCCAATCTTAAATGTGAAACTCGCTCTGTGAAGGAGATGGAATGTATTTTTCTACTTCATTTGAAAGCACAAACTATCAAACGAGACATATGATTAAATCTTCTATGCTTCCAAATGGAAGTAGAAAAATACTGCAAAGTACAGACTGTTCCAATTATTTCTCCAGGAAAATAATTTCATTCTTGAAGCCCATCCACTTACTTCTTTGATTTCCATACAACATCTACAGAGTTGGACCAATTGAAAAATAATTGTTCCCTTCTCTCCATTAGAAAGATAGCTAGGACTATTGTAACAGGAACACAGCAGAGCAAATGGCAGCACAGGTGATGATAGCAATATCACACAAATGCTATGACTTATGGAATTGTATCCAAATTTATGACCCAAGTTGCAACCACATTTGTATAATGACATAGCACCCAATCGAATTAGTTTGGTATCATTGCAATTTATTATGATGCTGCCTACAGTTCTTTTTAGTAGATCTTCTTTTCCTTGGAAATGGAGCAAATGGTATGAAAATGGGTAGGATGTAGTGCAGTTTTCAAACTTTTAAGAAAACCATTGATGTTTCGACATTCTGATTCTGTAACTTTATTATACATAGAATAACACCTCCTTTCTCATCCCTCCAAATCTGTCAACTTTAGAGTATCTGCTTCCCTTTCTAACACCTCTCTGGAATAAGCCATAACACCACTTTCTCTCTAAGGAATGGGATTCAGGCCTCAGCAGCAGGCCATCACCAAAGTTAGCAATTCATTTATTCAAACCATGACACGAACAGCCAAAATAATGTAATTTGACCACTTCTCGTTGCAATGGTTTTGTGATTGCTTCTTTTTCAAGGAAAGGAAAAGCAGAAATGGCAATGTCTGCAACATTTTTTAGAACTGCTTACTTTAACTTGTAAATGTGTGTTTGAAACGGAGCCATGCTAATATCGAAATTACTAGCTGAAAATAGTCACTGCTCAAAGTAGGGGGTCCAGATATTAGTTTATTATTTACAAATACCATGAACCTCAAAAAAAGATTCCAATCTTTTTGAAGGCCCCATGGAAGAGAAATCTCAGCATCATTACTCCTGTAAAATGCAAATCAAAAATTGGATGTGTGGACAGAAAAGCAGCATGGGACTAATCCAGAGCAAGAAAAACTGCTGTGATTAAAAAAAATTACAAAGCATATTCTTCCCTACATATCTGAAATTACAACCTCCAAAATATTTAAAGACTGACAGCTTCATTTTACTTTAGCTGATTTAAAGGCTAGAAGTTCTTTAAAATATTATGCACTTAAATACACATGCATACATACATGGAGAAACACTAAGAATAATCAAAATATTGATATACTGCATTGTGATACAATTTCATATATCCAGTCAAATTTATATCCACAAATAAAATGCAGAATTATACCAAGAACTTAAATTATACCAAGAACTTCCAAGTCATCCTTCTGGAAACTTCTGGGGATGGGTTTGCTAGTAGGAAAAATACATTCTTCTCATCTGCCCTTTAAGAGTTGTCTAACATACTATTTCATACCCTTTTACAAAATTATCTACAAAAATCAGTTGGGCTAAAGATTCCTCATTAGAGGTATCGGATATCCTGAGCCTGCAAGGAGAATTGCCCTGATGCAAAGAGAAGACACACTAGGGCAGGGGTAGGCAACCTTGGCTCTTATGACTCGTGGACTTCAACTCCCAGAATTCCTGAGCCCGCCATGCTGAGGGGGAAAGGAGAGGTTTCCAAGCTGAGCCATGCTGGCTCAGGAATTCTGGGAGTTGAAGTCCACGAGTCATAAAAGAGCCACAGTTGCCTACCCCTGCACTAGGGAATGTAACTTTATAAATGCTACATTCTGTAACTTTATAAATGTTAATCCAAGAGGTACAAATCATTTCTTCCATAGTTGGTAAAATATGTTAGCTTACAATTGGAAAGGGGGGAAAGGAAGATTACAATCCAGCTTTAGAGAGCAACACCCCTATAAAGCTTAAAATAGCTGTAAATTAGTATTTTATACCAGTTGAAAAGTTTGTGCCTGTCGACTGACTCTCTCTCTCTCTCTCTCTCTCCCTCCCTCCCTCCCTCCCTTCCTCTCCCTCTTTCTGTTCTCTTTTCAGAGAAGTAGCCATCACTAATGCTAGTGCAACAGGAAACAGATCAGTTCCTCCAGTAATTTCCAAGAGATCTTTGATTGAAATATTTTCTGCCAATTTTATGGAATCCAATGCCTTTTAACTGCTGAAACTATGACCTTAATTTTCCAAATTAAGCATTGTGCTATCACTTAAGCATTAAACAAGCTCCAACATTTGTTAAACTGCTATCATAAGAAACAGAATGGAGGGGCAATAAAGGTACCGTTACAAGTAAAATGTCAATATGTGTGATGATAAAGAAGCTGACTAGATATTTTGTCCAAGCAGAGAGAAGTTCCCCAACTGTTTTGAAGCAAGCCGTATGTTGTGCCTGTCGTTATGCTCCTTGTTAACTTTGTTCATGAACGAAAAATGGTTTTTACACTAAGCAATTTTTTCTCCCCATCGGTTGTTACACTATCAAATGCCCCCTCAATGTCTTGGAGATGCAGAATGACTTCCAAGGGTGTGTAACAGCAATCAAATTTTGTTACACTTTAATTGCTCAACTACTCCTTTCATGAGTCTAAAGATATCTGGCATTTTTTCAAATTTATCTAAGCCATGTCTTCTAAGACTCCGGCATTAGTTTTCTTTTGCCAGAATCAAGCAGATGGCTTCATTCCAATTCAATCATTTTCAAAGTAGTAAAAAAAACAAAAAAAACCCTCTAATAAGAGCTTGGAGCCTCTATCTTTCCATTAAGTCCTGGTAGCTCAGTGGCTTAGATAAGGTTGTCCTTGAAACAAAGAAGGGAGTAAAACCTCAAAGAGCCTTCAAAAGGTTTCTGACTGAGGAACTTCCCTAAAGAAGATTCACTGAAGAATTCTTGCACCCTGCTTCCAAATGAGTAGCCAATTGAAATTCTTTGCAGACTGGCGGGCCTGACCTAGGGTGAGTTTTAAATAGGGATAATTTTTAATGATTTTAAAGTTTCAGGGGATTTTTAAGGGTAATTTTAATTGATCGGCCTGTTTAAATATTTCTTTTTAATTCGGCTTTTAATTATTGTATTTGTATTGTAGTTTTTATGAGGCTGTTAGCCGCCCTGAGTCCCATGAGGAGAAGGGCGGGGTA